AACCTCATAATGACCTTGTAATGACCTTGTAATGACCTTATTATTATATATCTTTTCCTTCTAAGGATACATCATGGGAATGCCGAAATTAGAAAAGTTTAGAACAGAATCAGCAAACTTCTTTGTGTGCAGTCTGGTCAAACCCTGGTGGCAGCAGCCATGTTTGTTTTTATTATTAGAGGACACTTATGCACATAATCAGTCCATATTTGGAATTTACATATTCTTATTTTTCTTATACAGTAGGGTGAAAATTCCCTGTAAAATACTGTAAACTTACAACACGTTGTAACTTATGGCATTACGGTGACAGATGTATAATAATAAGTTGTATTTTAATAACTCGGTATGCAATACATTTAAATGCAATTTTAATATGGTATGGTATACATGTAGCAAATCTCTCTAAATTGGTATTTTCAATGATAGATGACTCAACATGATAAGATTGATGTAAAAAATTGAATTTTAAAATATGAAACATGATTTTTTTTTTTTGAAATATGAATGCTTTACATAACAACTTGCCTATAGACATAGTTTTATAGCAGGCTTGTACTGGCATTTTCAATCTATTACATGTATTTCACTGTTAAATTACATACTGATACAAACACAGTGTGCGTCCCTAGTGTACATACCAGTTTTCATTAAATCAAAAATAGAATAAACAAAATATTTTATGGAAGGGGCAGTTGCCGGTTGTATTCTATTTGGCCTTAGTGAGATACATACAGTAAAATACTTTATTTTAGCTGAATTTATTTTCACTGATTTTTGACAAGTTGAATGTAAAATATAGGAAAAAAGGTATATTCGCTGGATTTTATTTTCACTGAATCATTTCTTCAGCAAAAATAGCAAAAATTTATTCCAAGCGAAAATAAAGTATTCTACAGTATATGTACATTATGTGTACACAAATTACTGAAAACGTTTGATCTCATTCTCATATGCATAATAATTCGAATAAAAATGTAATATCATGACTACAGATGTAACAAAATCTATGCCTGAAAGCTCCTAATAGATAATAACAAACTTGGATAAATTTCAATAAATTAAAATCTACGTCATAAGTTACAAACTTAAAGCAAAAGCAGCCGAAGATTGTTTATGGGTATTTGTACTATTGAGAGCAGGATGTGATCTTTAGACTCAATAATTTCGCAACGACATGGTCCGATAAATTGAGAACCAGTCCAATAAATTCACATTCATTCCAAACAATGTCTCAAGAGACAATAAATTATGTCATTTGATTGTACTGTCAACTGCAAAAGGCTCAGATCATGTTTTTTTTTTATTTAAGTTTTCATAACAAACAATACTCATATTAGCCTGGAATCCATGCAGCCATTTAATATATTCTTCCCAGTGCTTGACTATTGGCTATGTAAATACGTAGACGACACAGAATTCTGTGTCATCACTGATTGGCTCTCTTCATGACTACAGTACATTACCATGAGAACTCACATGTGCAGACTGACCCTTAAGTAAGGTATGTCCACCAGACTGATTCACTATTCTATTATTTGTAGATTTCACGATAATAAAGAGCATCTAATCTAACTTTTAAATAAATAGAAGCAACAGTCACATCTAAATGACAGTGTGACTATAATTCCTGATGTATATACAGTAATAAAAAGTTATGATGTAAGAATCAAAATTCATGACTTATTGTAAAAGATATGCAAATGAGCCCAAAATTATTTATTGTTATGTAAATTACATATTAGCTATTATTTGAAATTTGTTGTTTCATTGATAATCCTTCTATGTAGGAAATCTAAAGGAAGGAAGGAAGAAATCTATGTTGGAAGTATAACGGAAATCCACATGAAATGTATTCTGGAAATAAACTTAATGTCACCCCCCCTCCTCCAGTTGTCACATCTATAGTTAAACCGTGATAATATTCTAGTAATAACCTTAGAATTATGCTTATTGGGAAAAATAAAATATAAAAAAATACACATAAAAAAACATCCTGTTACAAAAACACCACATTTGTTTTTCATTGGCCATAGGTATAAGTCAGAATCTTAAAAAAATATACCAATATACACAAGACCAATATACACAAATTTCATGAAATTTTTGTTGTAGTGAAATCTACTTTGTAGTATTTTATGACACAGAGTCAGTGACTTTTGTTGCAAAATTCTCACAAAACCCACAAAAAGCCTAAATTAAAAAACAAAAATTCCGCAGTGAAAATTAAACAGTTTACCGGTAATACTATATTGCAGATTACCGGTATATTTACTTATTTTCCTTGGAAAATCATCGAAAAATATAGTTTATGCATTGCGCAACATTTCCTGCTGACTTCTGTGATATGTTATTTGTTGATGCTACTTAAGGTAGTTCACTAACTACCATTAAAAAAACATACTTATCGGTAGAAATTTTTGAAATCTAGCAAGAGGTGTTGGATTACTGTAATATTCAAAATTCTAATTAAAAATAGATGATCATTGAACAAATTTTCCACAAAATGACCTTGAAAATTGATCAAAAATGTGTGTTTTAGTTTACAATTGGTTTCTATGGCAGAAAAATTTAAACATATCTCAAAATTTTGTTCTGTTACCTACATGTACATGTGTATGCAAAAAAATGATATGGCTGTCATAAAAAAATTGAGAATATTGAATACTAGTTATCCATGGAATTAATAATGTGTTTACATGGATTCCTATAGAAAATGTTCCAAAATTGCTGCTTTTGAAGTGGATGTTGCCAAAGAAACAATATTTCAAATTAGGGACAGCATTGTGTGACTATCTTCCTATCATAACGACATCATCTTAGCATCAACCAGGATATGTCAACGTAGATATTAATCATGAGAATAATGCAACAACATCTCTTGTATCAAAAAATTGATAATGTATGGGAGCAAAAAAAATAAAAACTAGCAAATTACTGTTACATTTGTCATTCAAAATATAACAATTTGATAATTTGCTAAAAAAAAAATTAACCAGCCTTGCTGTAATTTCGTAACTATGAGGAAAAATACAATCTTCGTATCCAAGTAAATGAAGTCTAACTAGTAGGCTATTTACAAAACTGAAACTTTATTTGTATGCATATCCATTCACCGCTGCATTAAGAGCCTTACAACATATTTGAAAGAAGATAACCTGGACAATAGCTGTATAACATGAGAACATTTTGAATTCAAAGAAATATGAAAGTCCTGGAACAAATTCGCTTTCTGCTCAACTGCATTTGAGAGTGAGCACTCAAGATATTTACACTGTGGAGACGAACATTCCACAACCTCGAAGAAAACATGTCTGATCATGTTTATATATTGTGTATAACATAAAAAAGTTAAAATTTGCACAGCGTATAACAATCAGGTACTCTAAATGCATTTACTAAATGTAACTGGGTTTTAACTTTGCTGATGAGTAAAATCTGCTAAATTAAATCCATGTGAATGTGTACATTATTTAATTATTTGAAAAGACCAACGGGCACAGGTCCCATTTACAAGCTCCTCACTCACACATACATCAAAATACAATAAATAACATACAAAAATATACGATAAAAAACATTTGAACAAATTACTAAAAACGTTTGCTCTCATTCTCATATGCATAATAATTCGAATAAAAATGTAATCTTATCATGATTACAGATGTAACAAAATCAATGCCTGAAAGCTCCTAATTTGAAATATCTGAATTTAACTTTCAAGAATTATTTGATGTACCTAAATTATTTGATTTAAAATGGCTGAAATTACTAAAAACCATTCCACAATAAATTATTGAAATTGTTCATGCATCTCACAAGTGAAGAATATTTAAAAATATCAATATGACAGTGTGGTGGACAAAACAGAGGGGTAAAACGTAAACTACAATTTTGAACATAAAAATTAAAAATAGAACACATTAACAATAAAACACATTGCTTCACATGTACGGTAAATTCAGAAATTTAAAACTCAGTAAATATGTGTTATGAGAATAGGCTTAAAACTTCAAAATAGTGAAATAAATGGCTAGGGAAAATAAATAGTTTTACAGTAAACAAACACCATATTATGTCATGTGGGAATCATAGTAGGCTATGTGGTACCCATGTCGTATACGTGGAACCTATATTTTGTTGTGTGGGACCCATATTATGTTACATAAGACCCAAACGAAACATGATATGGTACAAAGATGACAAAGCTTTAAATAATAAACCATTCCACACTACTGTGGAATACTTTATTTTAACTTTGAATTAATTTTCGCCAATTTACTGAAGGCATGAAAATAAAATCCAGCGAATATACCTTTTTCCCTGTATTTTACATACTCATTAAAACTCACTGAAAAATAAAATACATCCAAAACACCTGAAACGACTGTTCAGCGAAAATTAATTCCAGCGAAAATAAAGTATTTAACAGTACGTGAGAAATCAAACTTAAATACATGTACAGGACAAAGCAAGATTATAAGGGTCATCAAAATATTATGTGGGATTCAACATGCAAGTATTTTTGTGTAAGTCCACAATTAATAATGTACTACCATTGGATGTACATTGAATGATGGTCAATTTTGATGAAGTAAGGGTATCTCACCGCATATTCCCCTCTAAAAGATCAGCATTGCAATATTGAAATATAAAAACAGAAACTGAAGTTCAAAAACAAACTTCCGTTCGCGTCTTGTATGCAGTATGCAAGATAATATTATTATCATCTGCATACCATTGTCACAATGTATCGTCCTTCTTTGTTGAATCAAATATAATGCTATTGAGGAGTCATTATTGTGAATCACCACCATCAGAATTAAACAAATTTAAAGGCTTTTTGTTGAAATGTATTTACTTTCGAATAGAAGTTTTCATGTAATATTGAATAAAATATCATAAAAAGATATCATAAAAAAATTCTGAAAAAAACTGAAAATTTATAATATGCAATAATGTCAAGTGATTGTTTTCATTTGTTTATATATATATTTATACAAATCGATAACCATTCATCAACACGTTAACTTTGTTAATAAATATAAATATACTTTATTAACCGGCTAGATCCTGCAATGCACCAAATGAGGTAATCGTAAAAATCACACAAAACTTCCGCTTTCTTGTGAATTATAAGTTACTAAAAAGAACAAATCTGTACTAGACTCACCTTAAACCAGATAGCAGGCTCCACCAACATCTCAATTCCTTCTAAGTCTTTCGTTATTTCTTTCTCGAGCTTTCTGACACCGAATTCCGGTACACAGCCATCTCGCAGCGTCACATCGGGGAAGCATTGGATTCTGTTACAATAATCTTTGATGTACACAAACATTGCGATTCCGATCGTCGGCCGACAATGTCTTCAGTCAACTGGGCTGTCCTAGTCCAAACATCATACACTAGAAAGCGGAAACTTTCCGCAAAACCCAAGAAAGTGGTATCTGTTTACACCGGTTTCCTATTTCCGAAAATAGAAACGTCTCTTTTTGTCACCTCTTGGGGGCAGGTCAAAGGAAGCATGGGCTGTATCATTTATTATACGGGTTGATTTACGCTTGCGCGTAAATCCTTGAGAGGTATCGCAAGAAGAATAGAATAGAATAGAATAGAATAGAATAGAATAGAATAGAATAGAATAGAATAGAATAGAATAGAATAGAATAGAAGTGTGTGTTTGTGTCCATTTTTGTTTAACTAGTTGTAGCTTGTTCCCGGGTTGTTAAAATGTCGTTTACAGTGTAGGCCTCCCCATTAATAATATTTTCGCCGTAGGGAAGCCGTTAGTGAAACTGATCAAACTGAGGGATTGTTAACTGTCTTGTAAACATCAAATAGAGAAACAATTACACCCGTCATAACCAGCGAATGAGAGTAATACAGTAATATCAACATATACATACATTTATTTCAAATTAAGTGAAGAAAAAAACTAATTGTTAAGAATTCTACATGTTGCTTTATAATTTCCTGAAACCCAAGCGTATGATGTAAGTGAATTGTTTGGATTTTTTTGACTTCTTTATTTTACAAATTTATCAAGATATATCAATGATACGATTCAATAACAATTGTTATTATCAATAACCAGGGGCATAAGCGTATGTGGTCGAAGCCAAGAGTTGGCGATACAATCTTGCAATATATTATATAGGTGTACATATAGTAAAAGCATGGCAGTCTGAGGAAGATGGAAATTTTGTGTCTCGGGTTTTGTAATCAGGGGTACCGCACAAAAGTGTCCATGTCCAATGCCCCCTTCTCAAATCCCCTTATTTTTAAAATGGAGTCTCAAATTGGTCTTTTGCCCGAAATACTAGGACAATCCGAAACCCAGAGGGCCGCAGCAAGCTGAATCAATGAGTGCCATTCAATCTCTTTTCAAAATGTGGCCATGAACTACAGTTCGGTAACTAAAGTAGAGTGTTTAGGCACACCCACAGGCTCCCAGCAGGAGGTCAAACGTATAACATAACTTGACATATGTTTAGAGTTTTTATCCTTTGAAATTGAAGAAAATCGATGCAAAGGTGGTACAAGGACGTCGTGATGAGTGAATGCCGCGGTATTCAGGTGAAGTTGGTGCACTCCTCGCCAATGCGTAGCTGTGCTTAGTGTTAGAGGGCTTCCCTGTGATCTTTACCGCCAACACTGTTCTAACAAGTGCGCGAGGACAGCAGGGAAGCCCCAATCCTGAACTGGGTGGGGTGGAAGTGGATGGTGAATGGTGAGCACATGCTGGTAAGTAAAATTGACCTTAAAATTAATCGAACAGAACCTGAAAATCCAGGCTGAAAATTCTATTTTAGAGAAACGTGCCCAATAAAAGTTGCAACAATACATGGTATATACATGTCAGTAGTGTGTCGAGGAGAATGGGGTAATATTGACAAAAAAGGATTTGAACTTATTGCAATTACGGTATCGTAAATTATATCTATACCAAACTTGTTTTAGTTGCGGTCCTGTCGAAATTAGAGAAAATAACATGAAAAAGCCTCAATTCCCATCCAAATAAACCACAATATTAATATCGAGGCATATCTCAAGTTTTTTGTTTTTTCTGTTATCATCATCATGTTTACGTTATTATTTTTTCATCCTCACTTTATTGTAATTTAACTCAAGATCCTATGAAAGATACGATACCAATAAAGTGTATTATTATTATACCGTGACGCTGAATAACTCATGAAATCATAAAAACGAATACGACTCTATTCCGAGTTTAATAAAGATAGAGGGCAACGTGATGAGAGTGAACAAATTGTAAATGGCGAGAAATTATTCCCACATTCTGACTTTGGGTTGCGAGAATAGACCCGTTTATACTACAACCCGTGGGGAAACAAAAGAGCAAATCATAAAAATTTCAAACTATCTTAGATGTGACGTAATATGTATAATATGTAATATGTATAATAACGGACACGCGGGTGGGTGAACAAAATCAATTAGCGCACTCGAATTTAGAGTAAGTTTTAAACTATGTGTTTGAATAAAAAAGTACTTGAAATGTTTTAACAATTGTCATAGCGACATTACGATGTCCTTTTTATTGTTGCCGTTAGAACAAATATTTCATGGTTCAGCAACCAATAATGCTTTAAAAATACTACTAAAGATTAACTACGCTGCCTCGATTTCCCTTTCTTTAATCCACATACATGATTTCTTCTAGAGTCTATGCTTAAACCTAAGAACTGTTTTAATTGTTGACAGCCCACTAACCGTGGACAGCCCTATAAGTTGTAGTAGTTGATAATGTATAATGATTTGTCCCTGTGCGTTTGTTGTTGTTATGACCACATCATAAATTCCGAGTGGAACGCGAACTTGATTTTAATCAATTTAGAAAAGACAACACCAACTACTAGTATTCATACATTATTACTATTGATGAGGATATTTAAAAATTCGACACGACTTTTAGGCGTACTTATTAAAAATACTACCAGATGACAATCGATCGACTGAACGGGTATTCCACTGAAACACTCGTGCGATTTTCGCGCCACCTTTTTTTCGACGCGTTGCATGACGGGAACTACACGTGTGTTCAAGATGGCGGACAGTGGAGATGAAGAACCTACGATCTCTTCGGATATTGTGGTGACAAAATACAAAATGGTTGGCGAAATCGTCAACAGTACGTATGCTCGTTTTAATTATACACCCACATGCTCATACACGTAGATTGGAGAATTTTACACGCGGAAACGTCAGAAGTTCACTCGGACTGTTTCTAACCGCATGTTTGTGTACGTCGCGTCATTTGAAGTCATTGTGCAACTGATTGGCAACGAACCATTAATTTCGAGACCGGTTTGTGGTATATTCCTACACATTCGCACCAGATGTTTGAAATATACCGACCGCCATCTTTTACGTTTCCCGTCCAATCAAGAAATCTGTTGACAAAAAACGAAAGGCGTCATTCAGTTTTAACACACGTGTGTCCGTGAAGGGATACTTACTTGACAATCAGCCATATGGTCACGTACATTACTGAGTTTAATATCAGGGATTTTTATTTATTGCCTACAATCAGAACAATTTAAATTTACTAACCAAGTGTCTTCTCTCATATTTGTTCCATCATAGTTTTTTAAACATCTGCTAAAATTATAATTAATATAATTAAAAACAATGGCGTCTGCACCCTGCAAATTGAAAAACTGGGGGGCTAGAAAAATGTAATTTTTAAGGAAGCAATGGAATCCAGTTGAAATTGTGTTTACAGTTTGATATGAGGTCATTGTAGGACACTAAGTAATTGCCCAATGGTAAGCAATAGGTTGATGCATGTGTGTGCTGCTGGATTGGTTAACTTCCTATTATTTCATGGTGACCGCTGAATTCGGGCAGATTTGAGCATTTTTCCCCCGGCCAAGTTAGAATCTGGCTAAGTTCGGTTGTATTATATTTCATGATGCATCTGTGGGTCCTCTTACAATAGTTTGGAAATGTTGCCTTTATTTTGCTCATTAACCATTTACCTTTTTTCTCAATGATATGAAAAATGAGGCAGTCACACTTTTCGATATTATGTAAATATGCACACTCCAGTATTTGTGGAATACTGTAGTGGGGATGGTGGTGGCTGGAAGCGTGACCAAGGATTTTTTGCTGTGTCGTATTTGTGAATTTTTATTTTTCATAATTGCACCAATAGTGAAACATCTTGCTATTGTTTTTCCTACGTCTATCTTGCAAATATTCCACTCCTGTAGTTTCAAATGGTTAATCCCTAACACCATCTATTATCAAATTCGCATCAGATTCATGAACAGTAGACCCAAGTTCAAATCCTACATTAAGGGTCAACCCCTACCCTTGGTGAATGTGTCACAGACTCAATAATAGGAAGGCAAATTCCACTGGCTGAGATTCATTCTTTAACAAATGTGACTTTGGGAAACCTTGGTTAAGGTCCGCAGGTGCTAATGTTTGACTGAGCCTGGTTGACACCAGGATAGTGCATTAAATTGCCATTGGATAGAGAAATAGCTACAAAGCCCTTGTCATGTAGTCAAAAACATAATTATGGCTTCTGTGGCAAAAATGCTCTGTGTCAGCACTAACACTTGCAATTGGCACAAAAAAAAAATGTTATGAATATGAAACTTCAGCAATAATACAGTATTTAAAAGAGAATAATTTACTTTCATATTTAATTCTACTATAACCAACATTTCTCTCACAGTGAGTGTCAATCATGAGTGACAAGTTGTTACTGCTCTCATGTAATGTGAGCGTTTAATAAACTATACTTTATTTTTTTTCTATTTTAGGAATTGTTCGCAAGCTTGTTGAGAAAGCGAAAGATGGAGAATCAAGTCTTGGCTTGTGCGAATTTGGAGACACCATGATCTTGGAGGAAACTACTAAAGTATATAAAAAAGAAAAAGAAATGAAAAAAGGTATGAACTACACTACACTCTCATGTGATATGGCTTCCTGTTTGTGTTTAATCAAGGAGATCAAATTCAATAAATGGATAAGTTCACACAGTAATGGTGTCATCTTTGATGTGTAGATTAATATGTAACTGAAAGGACAATCAATTAAAACACTGCGTGTGAATGAATAACTAATCTCCCAGAATATAAAACTTGAAAAATTAAAAAATGTGTAATACATTTTCCAACAGAGTAATTTGGAACAATATCTATTCTTGGTATAATAAGAGATAGCTTTATCTACACCATGGGAGTGACCAAATTTTTGTGGTGACATTTTTGTAGGGCTTCAATTAATAAAATAGGGATTGCTTCAGATGCACCCTGGGAATGATAAAATTTTTGTAGGGCTTCATCTAATAAAATATAGATAGCTTCAGATGCACCATGGGAGTGATGACATTTTTGTAGGGCTTCAATTAATAAAATAGAGATAGCTTCAGATGCACCCTGGGAGTGATGACATTTTTGTAGGGCTTCAATTAATAAAATAGAGATAGCTTCAGATGCACCCTGGGAGTGATGACATTTTTGTAGGGCTTCATTTAATAAAATAGGGGTAGTTTCAGATGCACCATGGGAGTGGTGAAATTTTTGTAGGGCTTCATTTAATAAAATAGGGATAGCTTCAGATTCACCCTGGGAGTGATGACATTTTTGTACGACTTCATTTAATAAAATAGAGATAGCTTCAGATGCACCCTGGGAGTGGTGACATTTTTGTACGACTTCAATTAATAAAATGGGGATAGCTTCAGATTCACCCTGGGAGTGATGACATTTTTGTAGGGCTTCAATTAATAAAATAGGGATAGCTTCAGATTCACCCTGGGAGTGGTGACATTTTTGTACGACTTCAATTAATAAAATGGGGATAGCTTCAGATGCACCCTGGGAGTTATGACATTTTTGTAGGGCTTCATTTAATAAAATAGGGATAGCTTGAGATGCACCATCGGAGTCATGAAATTTATGTAGGACTTCATTTAATAAAATAGGGATAGCTTCAGATGCACCATGGGAATACCCACATTTGTGTAGGGCTTCATTTAATAGAGATAGCTTGAGATGCACCATGGGAGTAATCAACTTTTTGTAGGGCTTCATTTAATAAAATAGGGATAGCTTCAGATGCACCATGGGAGTGATGACATTTTTGTAGGAATTCATTCAATAGAGATAGCTTGAGATGCACCATGGGAGTAATCAACTTTTTGTAGGGCTTCATTTAATAAAATAGGGATAGCTTCAGATGCACCCTGGGAGTGATGACATTTTTTATAAATGAATTCTCAACTTCTTCTTCCCTATAAATTATACACAAGATAATGTAGATTTTCATGAGTCAGTGAAAAATGACGAAACTTTGTAGCAGTGTAAACTTACACTATATTTATCATCAACTTTGGCAAAAATATATTTATAAGAATTACGAAATAAAAAATTATGGCAGTAAAAGTTAAACAACTTTTGCTGCAATGTTTCTTTAAAGTGATTTCACTTTATAAACATTCAGAATTGTATAATTCAGTGCTACTGTCACAATGACAGAACTAGGCACTAAGTTATTGTTTTGGTGAAAACAGCTGAACTGTGTGTTTCTTTCTTCTTTGCAGGCATTGCATTTCCAACGTGTGTTTCCATTAATAACGGTGTATGTCATTTCTCACCACTTAAAAGTGATCCAGATGTGCTATTAAAAGATGGTGATGTGGTCAAAATGTAAGTAAATTGAACAAGACAACTTGCCTTAATTAAATCCATGTAGTGATTGCAATGGACACGTGTGATATAATTATATTCACATTGAGCATGCACAATATTCAATGCATTTCACTACCACCCATGCTTACCTTGCATCCAATCAATAGTGATATTCAGGGTTCTCCCCAGAAAAAATGCATAGCGCCGGGGCTAATTTGCATAATAATTTGCATATCATTTACATATCTTTCCTTCATTGATTAACAGAACTTATTTACAATTATGAATATTAGTGAGCTCAGTCACAGGGCAAATATTTTTTTTAATGGAATCAACACATTATGTTTCACAATTTAGAAGAGTTTGAAACATTCTCGAAATACAAATGCTACAGACTAAAAACAAACACAAATACATTATTGTTGCAATTTAATTGGTTTGTAAAACGTTGAAGGAAACGCATTCAAAACGTTAAGCCAGATTTATGTTCACGAATCTCATAATTTTATTCACTCCAAAAACATTCTCCTTCAAAAAATCGATCACGTAATTAATTGACGTATTGTTGTAATTTATTATTCGTACCATCAACTTCTAAAACGTTTACATTACAGTAATGAGCGAACAAATAAGCTTCAAACGATCATCAAGTTACTACGTGACATAACTTACTTGGCCATGTTATACACCAGTTATAGCA